AAATAGGTGCCAAAGGTTTGGGCCAAAATGGAATATCTTCCAAGAAATTCCGAAGCCATTCAACTTCTTCACCGACCTTATCTAAAGCTATGAATTCAGATACCATTGTAGAACGGGCGATGCACGTTTGTTTGGATGATTTCCAAGACATTGCTCCACCCCCAATTGTGAAAACATATCCACTCGTGGATTTAACTTCAGATAATCCAGTGATCCAATTTGCATCACTATATCCTTTGATCACGGAGGGATATTTGTTATAATGCAAAGCATAATTTTGGGTATGTTTGAGAAACCCCAAAACTCATTTAATTGCCATCCAATGTATTTGGTTGGGATTACTTGTAAACCGACTCAGTTTACTAATAGCACATGCTATATCTGGTCGCGTACAATTCATGATATACATCAAACTTCCCAATACTCTTGCATAGTCCAGTTGTGAGTCACTCTCACCTTCATTCCTTTGAAGTGCATAACTCACGTCAATCGGAGTCTTGACAATTTTGAAATCCAAATACTTGAACTCGTCAAGTACCTTTTCAATGTAGTGAGACTGTGATAATGCTAGACCTTGTGGAGTCTTGTGAATTCTGATTCCTAAGATCACATCAGCAACTCCTAAGTCTTTCATGTTGAATTTGCTAGCCAACATGCGCTTAGTAGCATTTATATCTGCCATGTTTTTGCTCATTATCAACATGTCATAAACATATAAACAAACAATGACTTCATGTCCCGGAGTGTTTTTAATGTAAACACATTTGTCACACTCGTTGATTTTAAACCCACTTGCCAACATTGTTTGGTCAAATTTGGCATGCCATTGTTTGGGTGCTTGTTTAAGTCCATAAAGCGACTTAACAAGTTTGCACACTTTCTTTTCTTTACCAGGAACCACAAAACCCTCAGGTTGTTCCATGTAAATCTCTACCTCCAATTCTCCATTTAAGAAAGTCGTTTTAACATTCATTTGATGTATTTCAAGACCATACACGGCCGCTAGTGCCACTAACACCCTAATAGATGTTATCCTCATTACTGGCGAGTTAGTGTCAAAGTAATCAAGGCCTTCCTTTTGTCTATAACCTTTGACAACAAGTCTTACCTTATATTTGTCAATAGTGCCATCAGCTTTCTTTTTCCGTTTAAAGATCCATTTCGAACCTAAAGGCTTATTTCCCGGAGGAAGATCAACCAATTCTCATGTATGGTTATCCAAAATTGATTGAATATCATTATTGACTGCCTCTTTTCAAAACGCTGAATCAAAAGATGACATAGCTGATTTAAAAGTTTGAGGCTCATTTTCAAGCAAGAATGTCACAAAATCTGGTCCAAAGGAAGTAGATGTTCTTTGACATTTGATACGACTTGGATCTTCTACATTTGGAGTATTTTCGTTTGATTCTTCCCGAGGTCGTTTAGGTCTTTAACTTGACGACTCCCATTCAGTTTTATACGGATAGATGCTTTCAAAGAATTCAGTATTATCTAATACCATTACCGTATTAACATAAATTTTGGGATTATCAGATTTATGAACCAAAAACCGACATGCTTTAATGTTTGTAGCATATCCAATAAAAACGCAATCTACAGTTTTTGGTCTGATTTTAACCCTTTTAGGTAAAAGAACTTGTACCTTTGCTAGACACCCCCACACTTTGAAATATTTCAAAATGGATTTTCTTCCTTTCTATTTTTCATATGGAATAGATTGCGTTTTGTTGTGGGGTACTCTGTTGAGTATTCGGTTAGCTGTAAGGATAGGTTCCCCCCACAAACTCTGCCGTAATCCGGAACTTATTAATAAAGAATTCATCATTTCCTTTAATGTCCGATTTTTTCTTTCCGCAATTCCATTGGATTAAGGTATGTAAGGTGCAGTAGTTTGATGGATAATTCCATATTCCGAATATATTTTTGCAAACGGAGATTCATATTCTCCACCCCTATCACTTCTGATCATTTTGATCTTTTTATTCAATTGATTCTCCAATTCATTCTTGTATTGCTTAAATGCTTCAATTGCTTCATCCTTACTATTAAGCAAATAAACATAATAATATCGAGTGCAATCGTCAATAAAAGTAATAAAATACTTTTTCCCACCTCGAGATGGTGTCGACTTCATATCACAAATGTCAGTATGAATTAACTCTAAAGGATTTGAATTCCTTTCAATAGACTTATAAGGATGTTTTACAAACTAAGATTCAACACATATTTGATATTTTGATTTATTACACTCGAATTTAGGCAATACTTCTAAATTAATTAACTTCCGCAAGGTTTTATAATTGACATATCCTAAACGAATATGCCATAAATCATTTGACTCCAATAAATAAGAAGAAGCTGAAATTTCATTCATACTGTCAACAACCATTACATTTAGTTTGAAAAGGCCTTCTGTGAGGTAGCCCTTTCCAACATACATTTCATTCTTGCTTACAACAACTTTATCAGAAATAAATACACATTTGAATCCATTCTTAACAAGTAAATATGTAGAAACTAAATTCTTCCTAATAGTAGGAACATGAAGAACGTTGTCGAGCGTTAACACCTTGCCGAAAGTCATCTTCAGAAAGATCTTCCCATAACCTTCAATCTTGGCTGTTGCAGTATTTCCCATGGAAAGCTCTTCTTTGGGACCAGCAGTAGAGTAAGTCGCAAATGCTTCTTTGACAGCACAAACATGTCGAGTGGCTCTAGAGTCAATCCACCACTCCTTCGGATTTCCAACTAGGTTGCATTCCGAAAGTATTGCACACAGATCATCAATATCATCATTCTTCTCCACTATGTTGGCATGTCCTTTCTTCTTATCCTTTTTCGGGAGACGACAATCAGGGGCTTTGTGACCAGTTTTTCCACAATTGTAGCAGCTGCCCTTGAATTTCTTTTTGTTCTGCTCCTTAGTCTGTCCAGAATACCTTTTTATCTTCTTACTTTTTGGAGCAGTCTCCTCAACGATATTAGCTCCCATGATCGTTGAATTTCCACGAGACTTCTTCTCGGTTGTTTTGTTGTCTTCCTCAATCTTGAGACGAATCACAAGATCTTCCAACTTCATTTCTTTGCGCTTGTGCTTAAGATAGTTCTTGAAATCTCTCCACGAAGAAGGCAATTTTTCAATCATTGCAGCCACTTGAAATGCTTCATTCACGACCATACCTTCAGCAATAAGGTCGTAAAAAATAAGTTGAAGCTCCTGAACTTGGGTTCCAACAGTTTTGTTGTCTATCATTTTATAGTCTAGAAACTTGGCAACCACGAACTTCTCTAAGCATGCATCTTCAGTCTTGTACTTATTCTCAAGTGCGTCCTATAATTCTTTCAAAGTATTCATCGCAATGTACACATTGTACAAGTCATCCTCTAAAGCGCTTAAGACCTTTGCAAAGAAAATCTGCATGTTTCCACGCCTCAACAATCATGATTTTTCGGTGTCCGGCATGTCCGCAACAGGCACTGGAGGTTCTTCACTAGTGAATTTCTGCATACCAAGTGTGGTAAGCCAAAAGAATACCCTTTGCTGCCATCCTTTGAAGTTGGCTCCAGAAAATTTTCCCGGTTTCTCGGCCGGTGGAACAGCAGTTCGACTTGACGAGGCTATCGTCGTTGCCGCAACAGTCGCAGAAGGATTTTCGTTATCAATTGCCATTTCTCACTGTCAATAACAGAAGAGTTCAATTAATGGCAGAAAACAGAATGGTAAACAATACTGTAATTTACAATAAATAGTACGTTTAATAAATAAAAACTCAAAGTTTTTATATTTGTTTCACAGAAAACGATGAAGTTTTTATGTTCTTCAAATCGTTTTTGAACTTCAATATTCTGATGAAGTTTTTATATCTTCAAGTCAGAATAGTAAAATTCAGAAGGAGTAGAAAATCACACAGGTTTTAATCTCCACAAACAGAATACAAAATACAATAAAATAATTTTCGTAAGATTGTTAACCACTCTGTATTACTGTAATAAACAATAAAAAAACCATTAAACTTTCTGAAATAGAAACTGAAATAGAAAGTTAATAGAACCAGTTTCACGAAATAAATTCTGGAAAAATAATATTGGAATAAATCGAGCCCATTAAATGCACAGTGTGTCCTTAAGGAAATTATTCCCCTCAAGTACCCGAGGTGTTGGAATATTATCCTCCCAGGATAGAACGATTTAACTCACCAGCATATTGGTACCAGAAACTCCGGTGAACTTCGAACCACTCGAAGGGTGTAAAACACACTGAAGATTTTGTGCAGAAGAAGAAGAAAAAGAGCAGAAAATTTCGTAAGTAAAGATTCTGGGATTCAAGGCATATTTATAAACCATTTGGCATTGTTTCTTAAAAGGTTTGCAACCTTTCAGAAACAGCCATAGTTGCTGGAACAGGTGGGAATATTTCTGTTGAAATATTGCGGGAAAAAAAGAAAAACTGATTTAAAATAATCCAGGAAAGAAAACGGGCCGGATCGGATCGGGTCGCGTGTCATGGGTTATTTCGGATTGAATTTTTGTTAATTAATTAATTAAATAATTGAGAAAAATTTTGTCCAAAAAGATTAATCAATCGATCTTTGACCAATTCCAAATCCAAATCCGAAGCCGAAGCCGAAGCAGATATATATACCCATTAATTAATTAATTAATTAATTAATTGAAAGGAATTTTATCCAAAAAAATTAATCAATCAATCTTTGACCAAATCCAAATCCAAATCCGAAGTCGAGCCGAGCGAGCGACGACGACGACGGCGCGAGGCTTGCTTTCTTCTTAACTCTTTAAGAGCTAGAAGAAGAGTAATAGTATATATACCCATCAAAAGCCTTTTCTTCCTCCAATATGGGACAATGTCCCTTTGCCAAGGAGGAAAACTCAAATTTCATTTTTCCTTCATTTCTCATTCACCCTCTTTAAACTACACCAAGCTTAAAATTAAGCTAAACCAAGCTTAAAAGCCCAACAATTTCTTCTTCCAATTTTAGAGGAAGAGGTAGAGGTAGAGGTAGAGGTCGAGGCAGAAGAAGAGGAGATCGTGGAGCCAGGGATTCCAGCAGGAATTTCAAAACCAATAATGATCAATCTCAAGGAAAATGTAGAGGTAGAGATCATGACAAATCCAAGGTAGAGTGCTATAGATGTCATAATTTCGGTCATTATGCATCTGAATGTTATACTCGTCTGCCTAATGACAAAGAAAGGGAGGAGAAGTCTAATTTTGCTGAGAACAATGAAGGAGAGACCTTGTTGATGGCAATTCAAGTAGAAAAAGAACCCGAGCGAGATGGTTGGTATTTGGACACAGGTTGCAGTAATCACATGAGTGGAAGTAAGTCTTGCTTTTCTTATTTAAATGAAGGCTTCCGTTCTAAAGTTATCTTTGGTGATTGTTCTACTATGGATGCAACTGTAAAAGGTGACATTAAAATTAAATCCAAGAACGGTTTTGAAGAAATAATCTCAGATGTGCTATATGTTCCGACTTTAAAAAGTAACCTGTTGAGTGTTGGTCAATTGAAAGAAAATGGATATTTTCTTATGATTGGAAATGGTGTATGTGAGATTTATAGCCCTACGAGAGGTGCTATAACTGTTGTAAAAATGAGTTCAAACAGGTTATTTCCCTTGAATACTGAGAGTACTCAATCTTGTTTGAAAGCGAAAATAAAAGATTCTTCATGGTTGTGGAATTTTAGATATGGTCACTTGGGTTTTGGTGGACTAAAGACACTTCATCAGAAGAATATGGTGTCTGGACTTCCAAAAATTGATATTCCATCTCAAGTATGTGAGGAATGTGTTGTTAGCAAACAACATCGTGTTATTATTCTGTATTTGTAAAATAATTCTGGAGAAGATAAAATAACATATAAACAGAAATGTAAAAGAAATAGAATTTAATCCGAGCCCACTGAATTCACAGTGTTTCCTTAAGGAATTTAATCCCCTCCTAGTACCCAAGGTTGTGGATTATTTTCTCGCAGGATAGAACGAATTATACGCTGGTGTAGCGATACTTCAAACCCCCAGTGTTTCAGCGAACACAAAGATCGGTAGCAAATCACACTTACTGTTGCTTTTTTTGTAGTTATAACAATGCAGAAGAAAGGAGGAGAAGTCAGAAATTCGTATAGAAAATCTGAGAGAATGGACTGGTATTTATAGCCAATGTTGATCTCAAACTGAAGAGGTGCAACTCTTCAGAACTGAAGAGGTGCAACTCTTCAGAAGGGCTGTTTGTGTAAAACGGCCATAAATTAAATGGCTTTTACAAAAAATAAAGGCCATATACTATTCCGTTGGATTTAATATTAATTTTTCGTTTCAAAAAAAATGGATATTTAATAATATTTCTGTTAATATTTACTATTAATAAATAAATTTGGTCCAAAAAATTAATCAATCAATTGATCATTTGACCAAATCCAAATCCAAAGTCGTAGCCGTAGCCGAAGCCGAGCCGAGCGAGCGACGACGACGACGGCGCGAGGCTTGCCTTTTTCTTAACTCTTTAAGATCTAGAACAAGTGCAATTGTATATATACCCATCAAAACCTTTTCCTCTTCCAATATGGGACAATGTTCTTTTGTCAAGGAGGAAAACTCAAACATTTTCAATTTCCCTTCATTTCCCATTCACCCTCTTTTATGCTATATTTAAGCTTAAAACCTAACAATCCCCCATATGAATGGGGAATGGCTATATCACAGAAATATGCATGAAAAACTGTGTGATTCACAAGCGAGGATTAATTGCATCTGGATAAGTAGGTTTCCCTTTGAACTTTCCGTAGTGAACGTGTGTCGGATATACTCGGTCAATCGGTAGATTTGATATCTTTGGACCGTCGAACTTTGGTGTATACCTAGACAACCATAAGTCACACAACCAACCCTTAACCGTCTTTGGCTCTCATTGTTGTGTTCGTTTCAGCCATGAACACCGCCTGGTTTCATAAGTGCGTAGAGAATTGGCCTTACAAAATTCTCCTTGAAGCGACTAACACTTCACACTTACATAGGTGATTCCTAAACGTGTCATCCCGTAGATACACTATTTGATATACTCGTATCAAATTTAAAAATCATTAAAAAGCCTTAATGCTTTATCCTTGGTACTGAACATTGTCTCATCACGAGAATGGACCAAACTTTTAGTTGACAATGTTGAACTGTCATTAATGACTTTTTTTGATCTCCTTGAACCTACATCTTGGGATCTTCAGTCTTCTAGGTAGAGTTACCGCTGCAATGGTTTGTTCTCGGCCATAGTCCCATTCCCCTCGATGATTTANTCACACTTCACACTTAAATAGGTGATTCCTAAACGTGTCATCCTGTAGATACACTATTTGATATACCCCGTATCAAATTTAGAAATCATTAAAAAGCCTTAATGCTTTATCCTTGGTACTGAACATTGTCTCATCACGAGAATGGACTAAAATTTTATTTGACAATGTTGAACCGTCATTAATGACTTTGTTTGATCTCCTTGAACCTAGATCTTGGGATCTCCAGTCTTCTAGGTAGAGTTACCGCCACAATGACTTGTTCTCGGCCATAGCCCCATTCCCCTTGATGATTTCTCAACTACCTCTCTAGTTAGGCCTTTTGTAAGTGGATCCGACACATTATCACTTGACTTTACATAGTCAATCGTGATAATTCCTCTAGAGAGTAATTGTCTAACGGTTTTATGTCTTCGTCATATATGATGAGATTTACCGTTATACATCACGCTCTCAGCCCTTCCAATTGCCGCTTAACTATCACAATGTATGCATATTGGTGCCAATGGTTTGGGCCAAAATGGAATGTCTTCCAAGAAATTCTGGAGCCATTCAGCTTCTTCACCGGCTTTATCTAAGGCTATGAACTCGGCCTCCATTATAGAGCGGGNCAAGCTATATCTGGTCGTGTACAATTCATGATATACATTAAGCATCCCAACACACAAGCATAATACAATTGTGATATGCTTTGGCCTTTGTTCTTTGCTAATGCAAGATTCACGTTAATTTGAGTCTTTGCAACTTTAAACCCTAAGTTCTTGAATTTTCCAAGTACTGTTTTAATATAATGAGATTGTGACAATGCCAGACCTTGAGGAGTCTTATTAATCTTAATCCCCAGAATTAAATCAGCAACTCCCAAGTCCTTCATATCAAACTTGCTAGTTAGCATACGCTTAGTCGCAGTTATGTTGGCAATGTCATTATCATTATTAGCATATCATCCACATATAAGCAAACAATGACTACGTGATTTGGAACATTTTTAATGTACACACATTTATCACATTCATTTATCTTAAAACTATTTGACAACATTGTTTGGTCAAATTTCGCATGCCATTGTTTGGGTGCTTGTTTTAGTCCGTAAAGGAACTTAACAAGTCTACATACCTTCTTTTATTTACCTGGAACCACAAACCCTTCAGGTTATTCCATGTAGATTTCTTCCTCCAAATCTCCATTTAAGAAGGCCGTCTTAACGTCCATTTGATGAACTTCAAGACCATAAACTGAAGGTAATGCTACTAACATTCGTATGGACGTAATTCTTGTAACTGGAGAGTATGTATCAAAGTAGTCAAGACCTTCTCGTTGTCTATACCCTTTGACTACAAGTCTTGCCTTATATTTATCAATAGTGCCATCATCTTTCATTTTTCTCTTAAAAATCCATTTAGAACNTATATATTTTCAAAGAACTCAGCATTATCTGATTCTATAACTGTATTATTATGAATGTCAGGATTTTCTGATTTATGAACCAGAAATCGATATGCTTTACTATTGGTCGCATATCCTATGAAAACACAATCAACGGTTTTCGGTCCTATTTTTACTCTTTTGGGTTTAGGATCTTGTACTTTTGACAAATACCCCCACACTTTAAAATAATTCAAGTTGGGCTTTCTTCCTTTCCATTTTTCATATGGAATGGATTGTGTTTTTCTATGGGGTACTCGATTTAGTATCCGGTTAGCCATAAGAACGGCTTTCCCCCATAAGTTCTGCGGCAACCCAGAACTTAACAACAATGCGTTCATCATCTCCTTTAATGAACGATTCTTTCTTTCCGCAATCCCATTGGATTGGGGCATGTAAGGGGCCATTGTTTGATGAATTATTCCATATTCTAAACATATTTTTTCAAAAGGAGATTCATATTCACCACCCCTATCACTTCTTATCATTTTGATTTTCTTGTTAAGTTGCGTTTCAACTTCATTTTTGTATTTGCCTGAATGCGTCTATTGCTTCATTTTTACTATTAAGTAAGTAAACATAGCAATATCGAGTACTGTCGTCAATAAAAGTTATGAAATACTTCTTTCCACCGTGAGATGGTATTGACTTCATGTCGCAAATATCTGTGAATTAAGTCTAAAGGATTTGAATTCCTTTCAACTGACTTATAAGGATGTTTAACATACTTAGATTCTACATATATTTTACATTTTGATTTGTCGCATTCAAACATAGGAAATACTTTCAAATTAATCATTTTCCACAAGGTTTTATAATTGACATGACCCAAACGTATATGCCATAATTCATTTGACTCAAGTAAGTAAGAAGAAGCTGAAATTTTATTATTATTCTCAACAACCATTACATTCAGCTTGAAAAGGCCCTCAGTGAGGTAACCTTTTCCTACAAACATATCATTCTTACTTATTACAACCTTATCGGATACAAAAACTCACTTAAACCCGTTCTTAACAAGAAGTCCAGCAGAGACTAAGTTCTTTCTAATCTCGAGAATATGAAGGACGTTGTTCAAAGTCACCACCTTACCAGAAGTCATTTTCATAAATATCTTCCCACATCCTTCAATTTTGACCGTTGAAGAATTTCCCATAGAAAGCGTCTATTCGGGTCCAACAAGAGCATATGTAGCAAACGCTTCTCTAACAGCACAAACATGGCGAGTGGCTCCAGAATCAATCCACCACTCCTTAGGATTTCCCACCAGGTTGCATTCAGAAAGCATAGTACACAAGTCATCAACATCTTCGTGCTTTTTAACCATGTTTGCTTGACCCTTCTTCTTGTCTTTCTTTGGAGCATGACAATCTGCAGATCTGTGTCCAGCTTTTCCACAGTTGTAGCAATTTCCGTTGAACCGCTTCTTGCTTGGGTTGCTTTTCGGTCCATAAGCCTTCTTCCTCTTTCTATCCTCAACAATGTTTGCTCCCATTATTGTTGAGTTTCCACGGCCTTTCTTTTCAGCAGCTTTGTTGTCCTCTTCGATTCTCAACCGAACAATAAGATCTTCAAGGGACATCTCCTTGCGTTTGTATTTCAAGTAGTTTTTTAAGTCCTTCCACAAAAGAGGCAACTTCTCAATCATTGCTGTAACTTGGAATGCTTCATTGATGACAAGACCTTCAATAAAAATTCGGTTAGTAGAAATAATATAATTAATACTTTCAACATTAGTATTAATTTGACTTATACCTTCAGCAAGGAGATTGTGAATAATCACTTGTAATTCCTGAACTTGGGTAATAACAGACTTGCTATCTACCATTTTATAGTCCAAAAATTTAGCGGCAACGAATTTTTTTAACCCGGCATCTTCCGTTTTGTATTTCCTTGCAAGCGCTATCCACAGTTGTTTTGACGTCTCCATATTATTATAGACGTTATACAGATCGTCCTCTAGTCCGCTAAGAATATAATTCTTGCATAGAAAATCAGAATGCTTCCACGACTCAGTCACGAGAAAGTGTTCATTTTCTGGAGTTTCGTCGGGCAGAACAGGAACATCTTCCTTAATGAACTTCTACAGACTTAAAGTCGTCAAGTAGAAGAACATCTTCTGCTGCCACCGCTTGAAATCAATCCCGAAAAATTTTTTGGGTTTTTCTGTCGGTGCCAATGCCGGTGTTGTTCGGCTTGTCGATGCATTGGCATTCACCATAGGAACAGTCTGGTTCCCGTTGTCATTCGTCATTTCTGTAAAAGAATGACACAAACAAACGTTAAAATCACGTAGATTTTAATCTCCACTGGAGTAGAAAACCACACAGGTTTTAGTCTCCAAAAACAGTGAGTATAACACAAATACAGAAAATATTAAATTCCTTAAGCTTGTTATTATTCTGTATTTGTAAAATAATTCTGGAGAAGATAAAATAACATATAAACAGAAATGTAAAAGAAACAGAATTTAATCCGAGCCCACTGAATTCACATTGTTTCCTTAAGGAATTTAATCCCCTCCTAGCACCCAAGGTTGTGGATTATTTCCTCGCATGATAGAACGAATTACACACTGGTGTAACGATACTTCAAACCCTAGTGTTTCAGCAAACACAAAGATCGGTAGCAAATCACACTTACTGTTGCTTTCTTTATAGTTAAAATAATGTAGAAGAAAGGAAGAGAATTCAGAAATTCGTATGGAAAATCTGAGAGAATGGACCGGTATTTATAGCCAATGTTGAGCTCAAACTGAAGAGGTTGTAAAACGGCCATAAATTAAATGGCTTTTACAAAAAAACAAAAAGGCATATACTATTCTGTTGGATTTAATATTAATTTTTCGTTTAAAAAAATAGATATTTAATAACATTTCTATTAATATTTACTATTAACAAATAAATTTGGTCCAAAAAATTAATCAATCAATCGTTTGACCAAATCTGAAGCCGAAGCCGAGTCGAGCGACGACAGCGCGAGGCTTGCCTTCTTCTTAACTCTTTAAGAGCTAGAAGAAGTGCAATTGTATATATAACCATCAAAACCTTTTCCTCTTCCAATATGGGACAATGTTCCTTTGTCAAGGAGGGAAACTCAAATATTTTTAATTTCCCTTCATTTCCCATTCACCCTCTTTTAAGCTACATTTAAGCTTAAAAACCCAACACATCGCAATCAATTTCCAACGAGCACATCTTGGAGGGAAAAGAAGGTGTTGGAATTAATTCACTCAAATATTTGTGGCCCTATAAATCCAACATCAAATGGAGATATACGGTATTTTATCATATTTATTGATGATTTTAGCCGAAATACTTGGGTGTAGTTTTTGCAGGAGAAAGCTAGAGCATTTGAGATTTTTAAGAAGTTCAAAGTACTGGTTGAAAAGGAAACTAATTCTCAAATTAAAGTTCTTCGGACGGACCGTGGTGGAGAATTTAACTTAAAAGAATTTGCAGAATTTTGTGAGAGGAATGGAATTAAAAGACAACTTACAGCAGCTCATACGCCTCAACAAAATGGTGTATGCGAGCGAAAGAATCCTTCCATTCTTAATATGGTGCGAAGTCTTTTGAAACCGAAAAGCTTTTGGCCTTAAACTGTTCTTTGGAGTGTTCATATTTTGAAAAGAAGTCCTACTTTTTCTGCTCAAAATATGACTCCTCGTGAAGCTTGGAGTGGGTGTAAACCAATTGTTGCTTATTTTAGAATCTTTGGGTGTATTGCATATGCCCACATTCCAGATGCAACAAGAAAGAAATTGGATGACAAAGGGCAAAAATGCATTTTGCTTGGTGTTAGTGATGAATCAAAAGCTTATAAATTATTCAATCCTATCACCAAGAAAATTGTTATTAGTCGAGATGTTATTTTTGATGAAGAAGCAACGTGGAATTGGAGTGATGATGATCTCCCTCAACAAATTCCAACAAACTTTGAAGATGAGAAAGGGCAGAACTCATAAAAGAGCCTGATGGACGAAATGTGGACAGCACTCTGTACAAGCAAATGGTGGGATGTTTGATGTATTTAACCGCAATAAGACCCGATATAATGCATGTTGTTAGCTTCATTAGCATTTAGCAGGTTTATGGATTGTCCAAAAGAAGTGCATCTTCAAGCTGTCAAGAGAATTTTTCGATGCTTGAAAGGTACAAATGGTCATGGGATATTTTACAAGAAGAATGCAATTGGAAGTTTGCTTGGGTACACAGACAGTGACTATGCTGGAGATTTAGATGACAGAAAAAGCACCTCCGGGTATGTATTTATGTTTGGTTCAGGAGTCATTTCATGGTCATCAAAGAAACAACCAATTGTCACATTATCAACCACAGAAGCAGAGTTTGTAGCTGCTGCATATTGTGCGAATCAGGTTATTTGGTTGAGAAATATACTTGGCGAACTTCATTTTAAATAGGAAGGTCCTACAGTTATTCATTGTGACAATAACTCTGCAATTAATCTCTCAAAATATCCTGTGCTACATGGGAGGAGTAAGCATATCGATGTAAAATACCATTTCTTGCGTGACCTCACCAAGGATGAGAAGATTAAATTGAGTTATTGTAGAAGTGAAGAGCAAGTCGCAGATATGTTTACCAAACCTACCAAACCCCTTAAATCAGCAAGCTTTCTGAAGTTACGACAATTGCTAGGAGTCTGCAAATTAAACTGAAAGTTTTCAGTTTAAGGGAGGGAATGTCAAGTATTTTTATAGCTGTTAGTTGTATGTGATAGCTGTTGGTGGACTAAGTATTTACTCTCAGTTTGTTTCTTAGTTTAGAAACGTGTATTAGTGTTCCTAATTTTTGGGTTTCAGTTAATGTACAAGGTCAAGTTATTTCCTCTTCTTTAGGAGTTGTGGAGAGTAGTTTATTGTTGGGTTATCTATTTAAAGAGTCAAATGTAATTTGGTTTCTAAGTAGTAACAGAACAAAGAGTCCTTTGCCTTCTAAGCTTTTCTCTGTTTTTCTCGTTTCATTCTTTACACCCAAAAGCTTTTAAATTTTGAGAACAAGAGATGATATTGTTGGTACTAATACACTAATATTATTGTCGTATACTCTGTTAGATACCAATGCACCAGGGGTCTAGTAGTAGAATAGTACCCTGCCACGGTACAGACCCGGGTTCAATTCTCGGCTGGTGCAAATTTTCATTTTTCATTCCTCTCATTTTCAATTTTGATATGGCTGGTTCCTCTCCTGATAAGTCTCCTCATTTTTGACAACTGCTTGTGCTAGTAGGACAGGAGCTGCTGGACAGGTGCAAAACGTTTTTTTTTTTTTTTGGGCAAAACTTTCTTGGAACTAAAGTATGCAAAAAGGTGCACAAAGTTGAAAAAACTGTATGTCATTCTTCTCCTTCTAAACGAAAACATACAGAGGAAAGAATTTAGATCAACTCCAAAAGCAAAAGTTGAGTACATCAGTTTCCCCAGCCCCCTCCCCATGGGCCATGTTTGCTCAAAGAGAGAAGAAAAAGCAAAAATCACCCTTGACCCTTTGCAAGTTGCAACCTGCCAATTGCGTCGGTACCACGAATTCTGGTTATCTTATGTTTTTCGATAACAATGCCAAGTGCCAACACCAACAAATAGAAGAAAAAATGAAAATGTGAAGATACCCATATGTCAAAGCGGATGACTAAAAAATCTACATCGAGCTTAAACCTGATTCTACTTTAGGAAAGAAAGATTTATAGGTCACACGTGTAAACCGTGCAAGAGTATTTCCTACGTATCAGTACTTATTATAAACAATTACCTATAGTTAGCTTAATTAGGTCACAGTACTTATTATAAACAAAAACAATTACCAATAGTTAACTTAAAAGTGACCTAATTATATAAATACTTTTTATCTCTCGACTACATAAAACTTCCCACAATCATCCAAGAAAACCCTCCAGATTCGCTGAAATTGGGACCGTCTTTAAGTGACCGAGTAAAAGTTCGGTTTCTAAGACTCCACTGACCACTCCATGTGGTTAATTAGTTCATTGATGGACCTATAATCAACCCCAGATCATAACATTCCACCAGGTACGAGGTGTGTAAAAAGGGCTGAGGAGAACTTTCCTTAGTTACAATCTTAGCTCTCTATCAACTTAGGTGCCTGAAATAAAATGTTTAACTGCATAGCACTCATATTCCATTTGACACTGAAAAGCATCTGTTGCACCAAAAACATCTTTTACACAGACCCACAAGTCACAAGATTCTTACATTGAGCAATTGGCAGCAGAATTTTGAGTAAAAACAGCATTTCTTTCTGCACACAAAACCACTACATATTCTAGTTCACAATGCTAATTACCTAGTGAGATAGTATACAACCAAAAAGAGGACCACAAATGAGGCTACAAGTGTAAACATTCTTCGGCTTGATTTGGTCTCGAATACCTGAAAAGGAAAGGAAACAGTTCAGATTCTGCAATACAAGGCAAAGTTGGTTTAAATGTCGACCAATATTACATACCATCTTAAATTTATCCATTGTTCCAGCTAAAACTCCCCTTGAAGAATCCATATCATTACCCTGAATAGCCATACAGGAAAATATTGCGCACATTTTAGTAATAAAAAAACATAAAAGCATGAGGTAAGTTACTTCATTGAAGTGTGCTGACCATTCTGTCCAGCATCCTATTATGTGTCTCCACTTCCTCATGTATATCACCTGATAACTGTTGGATTTAAAGCTTCATCAGGACAAATCTAAAACTCTTCAAAAGTTCAAGATGCTCATTGCCAACAACACACAGCTACGTTAGTTGACGCACACATATTGAATGATGATCCAGAAGAGAGAAAGAAACTTACAAGAACTCAAATACTTAAGTTGCAACAAAAAGCAAAAACATGTTTTCCAACCTAATGAACGACCGCCATAGTTAAATATACATGACAATAAGTAAGTTGAGAAATGAGCTTTCTAAAGCATAAAAGGATATCTGAGAGTGTGCTCAATCTAGGATTTCATAAAAGATGTTCTAAAAATGGTGTACTATATTTTCCATTGAAAATTACTGAAAGATGAATAATTTTGACCTCCCAAAAACATCAGCTGTCTACTAACATTCCATGCCAAACATAGGAGATGAGCATATAAACAACTACATAGCATCGAATAGACAAAAGGAATCTTCTCTTCGAGGAAGAGTGTCTATATTTTACCCCATGAGAAATCAAATAGTTAGGCTCCATCTACTACTACTTACGAAAAAGTTCTCCCCCTTTGGAACCTCAATCACCCTTTAAGAGGAGTCTATAGTTCAAATACACAACAAAAATTATGGTACTTTTTTACCTGGCCAGTAAACATAGAAAAATGAAACTTGAGCTGAATAAAACTAAAAGCTTCTACATGTGCAGGACTTACTCTTTTCAGCAGATTAACTCTATCTTGCAACCCGTCCATTGCTTTCTCATTCTCTTGTTCATCAATTTCATGTGAAGCATATGACGACGAAGCCCTTATACCACCTTCCTCAATTCCATCAAATAGTGCTGCTCTGTTGCTACGTTCCCTAAAGTCAAGGATTGTTAAGCAATAGGAAGAGATGGGTGCAAATAAGAATGTTCCTTTACAATTACAAGAACAAAGAACAGCCCTGGTTATGAAGTCACCACACCCCACCCCCAGTAGGTTAGCATGGATAAAGGCTAGAAACAAGTTGCCAGTTCAACTTTTTGGGGTCTTCTTGCCACTTCAAATTACCCCTGCCATGTCAAATATGAGAGTCTAAGGCTGCAACAGAAATGATAAAGTTCACCACCAAAGTTGGATGAAGCCTATAGTCCCATTTTTACATCTCATACTACATAAAAAGAGGATCAGGCACGGGGAACATACACATTCAATGCACAAGCAGGATATAGTCATAATACTTTCTTTTTTATTTAAATGAAGAAGGATTTGCTCATAATACTTTTCCTTTTTAACCATAGAAGAGCAAATTTTGGTCCTAAATAATATACTAACTTAAAGCTTGCATCCAATCTACTTAATGTAACTGCTTTAGAAAACACATGATTAACAATTGAGGTGGAAGAATGACAGTCCACACAAATAAAGCATTGGTAGGACCAGAATAAGATAAAATCAACTTTGTGCCACCTAATTACACATTTTGAGGCTATTTTTGAGGTCTATATACTACCGAGGTCACATATATTTGCGGGTAGTAGTGTCCATCCGGTGAACTAGCGTAAAATCGTACACGACATTGTTGGAATAAACTGTAGAGGAAACTGGCAGGATTCTTAACCATACTTCAGAACACAGGAAGTTTTCTTTAAACGAGAAAAAAAAAAAGGAAAAGAAAGAGTCGTAAAGTATATAATTATGGCCATAATAATGTAATATCAACCTAGTTCACTGGTCATGCATGTCAAATATAGGTTTGAGATGAGATTAAATTGAGCAACATGGACAGTGAGGATTCATATAGCCGACCTTAACTTACTTGGGAATGAGGCATAATTGTTTTTGTTTCTTAAAGTAATATCAAAATCCATGCCTCCATGGTAGATGAAGAAAAGCATTCTACTGAGCATAAGTAGTGATATGCATTGCTTAAGCAGAAAAAAAAAAAGGAGTACCGGCTTGGGCTAGCATGTCGATATTCTGATTACCACATTATTAATCAACGAACCACACCTCAATGCTAAACTAGTTGGGTAGGTTAATCAGATATGAATCCTCTATGACCCACACTATGCAGGCCCATTTACCACAGTATCATGGTAATTCAAAAATTAAAATCACGTGATCCTATCTCGATATAAGAAAGGGTACCAAATGATTGAATCTATGCTACTAACATAATTAATGTGATGAATCAGATGATCTGCATGGAAAATCATTGATTAAGAAGAAAGACAGGATAAAGCTCGAAAAAGAACCTTCTAGAATTCATGGCTAGCAGAGATTGGAAGTTGGAGTGATGTGAAACTTCGAAACCTATTGGCGAATTGCAACAATAGATCAAATAATTAGCCAAATCAGTGTAAATATATAATCATGATTGTCAAAGTAATAACCCTAGGGTACAGATGCGAGAAATGAATTGAAAAATCATACACAAAAATAAGTGTATAACGGATTATCAAACCGAAGAATTCAGATCTGCTGGAAATTTAGGTGGAGATTACCTGCAGCTGATCGCCAAACGGAGACACTGTAGTTTTTGAGGGGTGAATATGACTCTACTGTATAGAATTCTTTTGCTTATACCGGGAATGATTAGGAAAGCCAAAAGGATTTAAAGTCCAAGCTGCCAGTTCTAAAAATACTTTTATCAGTTTCCAAATATGTGAAGACGTTTAACTCTCTCATTTTCAATTTATTATGTGACCTAGTTTAATTTAGCACTAAATTTTAACAAAAACTTTTAGAATTTGTAATCTTAAATCTGTTATTACCTGTAAAATTAGTATTGATATAAGACCTCTGAAAATTTATGATTTTAAATAAAGCATAATAATTGTGTGGCTTAAAATTTCTTATTAAGGATAAAAAATAAAATTTAAAGATAAATTATTTTCAAATATATGAATATGTTATTTTTTAAATTAACTATAAGAAAAGTGTGTAACATAAACCAAATAGGACCGCAACTTTTTTATATTTATTCTACATATTTTTAATAATAACAAGTTGTAATTTTTAGCGCTTTTCATCCACAAATTTAGGTTATCAAAATAACTAGTAATATTTGGGAGTGGAGAAAGTAAATTTTAAGTATATAAATTATCTATATCTATATATATATATATATTATATTAAAAGCTTAGCGAATTATCGTTTGCCTTTTTTATCCTACAAAAATAGAGTTCATACTAGACAAAATAGTCGTGTAATTATTTTCCTAATATTTAAAACTTTTAAATTAACTAAAATTTTACTTATTATATCTTTCCTTATTTAAACTATTATATTGGAAGTCATAATATTTAGGACTTTCAAGTAAATTAAATTTTACCTTTTATATATTTGAACAAATAGCTAATTCGAGAAGATTAAAAATCTTCCTAGAAATAATAGACTGGTTTTAATAAGAAAAAAGTAACTTAGATTTCAACTTGAAATAATCATAAAAGTCCAAAATTTTAAAAGTAACAACCTAATTGAGTGCAACTTACATTTTTCTTTAATGTTTAAGACCTTTTCAATTGTTTCTAATCCTTTTGTTCATTTACAAACGAAAGGCCATAATTTTATACTTGCAAATTGCAATAAATATTAATTTAATATTTTAGTTATAAATGCGATTAGATTTCATATTTTAAATACATGAATTAATAATAATATTTATAAAAATAATTACTTGAGATTCAACCAATAATATTTATGTATCTAATAAAATAATAATAAAAATATAATCATAAATTTTATTCCATACACTATGAGTTCTGTTTTTAACCTCAAAACTTTTTAAAATTTGTATGTAGTTAATTAATACTCCCTCTAGTTTAATTTAAATAGTGGCACAAAGTTTAAGAAGAAAAAAAAATGACTCTCGAAATATGTGGTCCTAAAAGCTTAAGGGGCCATGACATTTTTGTAGATATAAAAACTTCTCATTAAGGGTAAAGTGGGTAAAATAAAAAATTTAAAGTAAATTTGTTTCCAAATATAGAAGTGTGACATTCTTTTTGAAATAGACTAATAAGAAAAGTGTGTCATTTAAATTGAAATAGAGTGAGTAAGTTATAATAACTATTTTCTTAGGTACAAGCTACGTAATGAGTGAAAAGAGATACATGTGCAAAATATAAATATAGATTATAAATTAATTATATATGATTATTCATATATTATATGTGAATTATACATATATTATGCTTAGTTTAAGCGGATGAGTGACGTCTATTTAAATTAATTAATCTCTCTGAACGTGCATTGCACGTTTATCTCATATCATTATTATAAAGTTTGTATGTAAAATAATGAATTTTTATCATATGCATACTTTAGGAATTTTTCTTCGAGTTATAAGGGCATTAGGGCACATATTATTTGCAATTCAATGTTTACTTTATTATTTTATCTATTATTTTAATTTTAAATTAAAAAATTAAACCTAAAAGTTTTGTTTGAGTATCTCAAAGGAATAAATGTTTCACTCACAAAAGCTCTAACTTCTTCTCTAAGTGAAATCATGTCTGTGTACGGGTAAAATCGGAGGTAAAGTTTCCTCGATTTCCCAATAAGAAAACAAGATACGATTTGACGCGACTATAAGCAAGGCCGAAGGACCCCTCGTATCAGAACCCGGGAGAAGTAAACGATGCATCTGGGATCGGGACAGCAAAATAACAGACCTAGACCAAGTAAAATTTCTAGACCACGGGAAACGCGAAGAACGGTTATGCATGACAAGCAGGGAGCCGTAATATTCGCCCTTAACCGGATATTACGACGCGAATCTCGTCCGACATCAACCACGGATCGACATTTACTAGGAAAAGAAGATTTTTACCTTATTTAGACTTATACTCGGACTGAAATTCCCCTACTATATAAAGAAAAAATTTTCTTTTAATTTAACACATTGTTGACACGCAAATCAAAGCAATAAAAGTCAAATTTGTCTTCTAGCTATTATTCAAGGTGTTCCTCAGTTATTCTCTTTTCTTATTCGCATCCGAGCTTATATCGAAGGTCCAATCGAGGTTGAATTTCACTGTTCATCCTGAGATCAGACTTGATCATCACATTACAATTGGTCTGATCTTTCATTTTATCTTTAACTCAATTACTTGTTGTTCTTAGATCATTCGTATTAAATTGAATCACATATCCTTTAAATCGCGTACAAATTCAATTGTTACCCATTTTTTGGGCTAGGTGCTTGGGTCTGGGAGAAACTGACTACGCCATGAGAGAGGTCCACAAGGGCACTTGTGGGAACCACTCGGGAGCAGAATCCCTAGTTTGGAAGCTAATCAGAGCTGGTTATTACTGGAACGATATGGAGAAATATGCGAAAGACTTCGTACGAAAATACAACGAGTGTCAAAAACATGCCCCAATAATTTATCAACCGGGAGAAATACTTCACCCGGTCCTATTTCCATGGCTGTTTATGAAGTGAGGGATGGATATCGTCGGTCCCTTGCCATGGGCTCATGGTAAAGCCCAATACATACTACTCATGACCGATTACTTCTCTACATGTGCCGAGGCTCAGGCGTTCGAAAAGGTTCAGGAGAAAAAGGTCATCGACTTCATCTGGGATCACATAATATGTCGGTTCGGGATATCGACCGAGATCGTTTGCGATAATGGAAAGCAATTCGTCGGTAACAAGGTAAGTAAGTTTTTCGAAGACCACAAAATCAAAAAGATATTATCAAAACCTTACCGCCCTAGTGGGAACGGACATGCGAAGTCAACGAACAAAACTATACTCCAAAACTTGAAAAAGAGACTGACTGATTCAAAGGGAAAATGGAAAGAAATCTTGCTCGAAGTCTTGTAGGCATATTGAACAACTTCGAAGTTAAGTACCGGAGCGACCCTATTTTCTATAGTCTACAGCGCGGAAGACTTAATCCCGGTCGAGGTGGGGGAACCGAGCTTCAGGTTGGAGTATGCTACTAAAATGTCAAACAGCGAGGCCATGACCGCGAGTTTGGACTTATTGGATGAGAGGCGAGAATCTGCCTTGGACCGATTGGCTGCCCAAAAGCAGCGAGTGGGGAGGTACTACAACCGAAGAGCTAACCTTCGACATTTTCAAGTCGGGGACTTGGTCTTAAGGAAAGTAACACTACACATCATGAACCCAAATAATGGGAAACTAGGCCCAAACTGGGAAAGATCATATAGAGTTGTCAGAATAACCGGGAAAGGTTCATATAAACTCGAGTTTGGAAATAGTGTACAACTACCGAACAACTGAAACGTGGCACACTTAAAGCGGTACTACTGCTAAGGTACGAGCACAATTCCCTTTTGAAATTTGTTATATTACGGACTAACTTGTGCAGGTACTCGGGCGAGGGGAAATATGACTATTAGGTTTGAAAGCACGTGTTGTACTCTTTTATCCCTTGAACTAGTTTTTTTTATGAAGTTGGTTTTTACGGCAATGTTTTTAACGAGACAATAGTAAAACGTGCTACCTTAGTTTCGAAGGCCGGCCTAAAGCCGGAGTTGCTGATCACCTACACTGAACCAATAAAATCCGAGCCCTCACAAGTTAAGCCTCAAATATTGGGGGCTATTACCCCCTAAGTTAGGATCCTTAGAAGGTGTTATTACATAATATTAAAAGCCAAGGATTGGTAATTAAGATTCGTTATAAGGGTCAAATGGTCAAACAAATCGTACCCATGTAGCCCACTCTTGCCATGGCATATGCTTATGTGCCTCCGATTATGTACTCTACATGCAAAGCAACGAAAAATATTTAACCTATATATTTTATCACTACGCATTTTATACCATCGATACATTCGTTGAAGTTACTTAGAACAAATAACGGATCCTGAATCCTAGAGATTATGGGCTACTCCGACTTCGAGATTGTTATCCGATAAAAAGATCGGATAGCTCGTGCTATCGAATTCCGGAGGAACCAAGCCTATTGGGCAGGGTCCGAACATGAAAGGTTACGGCCAACCTAAAATGGCTCGGAGACATCTAAGTCCGTACTTAGAAAGTAAGGCCCTTACATATGATTAAAACCTATTAAAAGGTTACTCTCGGCAAACCACTGTCGCGTATGACTAAAACACACAAGTATCTTAAAGGCCTTCATTTTTTATCAAGATTTCTAAGCGTAAACAACTCGGAGATCGAAACCGGGCCTCATTGGGGCTTTCGGGTTATGGGTACTCTAGATTACGTCCAATTCTATGATAAGGCATTAATGACGAACTTCAAAAAAATTGCAAATAGATGCTGAGAAATAAAAGACATAGTGTTGCCGAAGGGAAATTTTTTATATATATTCCAAAAAGTCTTTACAAAGGCACGATAAAACAACATCAAAATACAAAAAGATATACAATAGAAAACAAAAAAAGAGAAAGAAAAGCTAAGGCATCTCCGCCTAATCTTCACCAAAGCTCGACTTAGCACCGGAACCTTCGGGACCTTCGGGCTTGTATTGCTCTTTTGCCTCGGCCTCGAGCCTCTTGGCCTCTTCAATCTCGGCCGACAAATCAAACTGAATCTTCTCCAGGGTCTCCCTCCGGGACAGCCGTTTTACAAACTCGGCCTTTGTTATTAAGCGGGCCTCAGCTATTTCCACATCGGTCT